TATATTTACACTGAACCTTATGGGGGAAATTTGCCTCGTGGTGCAACCAAATTCGGAGGGCGGAACGGATTAACCATATTTATATTGAACTTTATGGGAAAATTTACCTTGACTTGCGACCAACTCGAGTTGCGACCAGAGTCACGGAACGGATTAAGTTCGTAACTAGAGGTACCACTGTAGGTAGGTAGGTAGGTAGATAGATAGATAGATAGATAGATAGATAGACAGACAGACAGACAGACAGACAGACAGACAGACAGACAGACAGGAATGCATTCTTTCAAATGCTCCTAATGCTGTATGGTGGTAGGATGAAAAGTGATTAGCACTCTTTCTCTTTTTGGATTTGTTGTCAACGTCAACTTTCCAGCTCATGCAATTTTTAAAAAATCTTGAAGAATATTTTTAATCGCATTACCCTCCCATGGACTTATGATCTTCAGGGAAGATCCTGCTTTTTGTGCTTCAGCCTACTGTTTGGTGACAACACAAAGGGTTTTGCACTGTCATCTATCTTGTGGAACAAATTTGTCTTTGTAGTATATAGTGATGTGATGGCATTTTTTAATAAAATCTTTTAACACTGCTCCCCCACCCACCCATTAAATCACCCTAAATCTGTTTTTATAACGGATTGTTTTTATATTTTGTGTACCTTGGTAGAATGTTCAATAAAGATGGGAAATTTTTAAGATGTGAAAATGCTGGTAGAAAGGCAATGGGTAACATATAATCCATTCTGAGGGTGTTTAGCAGACAAAGTGAAAATGTCTGAAAGACTGTACTCCTGTCCACTATGTTATATGGAAGTGAGAGCTGGGCATGTCAGGAGAAAGATAGAAGTTGAATGAGGTGGGAATAGGTACTTCAGCATATGTGGCAAAACAAGAAGAGATGAGATCAAGCATGTATGGGAGCTGAATGCATCTGGACTGAATACAAACATGAGTGACCAGTATGAAAGAAGTATGTTGAGGTGGTCTGGTCTTTACAGAGAGAATGAATGAGAATCAAATCACAGAACAAGCATAAAAAAGAAGAGGGAGTGGCTGAGAGGAGGGAGAAGACTCAGAAAATAATGGTTGGAATTGATGAGAGCATTAAAAAGAGGTGAAAAGTTAAAGAACAAAAGGCAATGTATGGACATGATGAAAGCAAAGATGGTTGCAAGGATAGAAAGGAATGGTGTGATATAGTGAATGATGTTGGTATAAACTAGCTTTACTGTGTTCCCTTTTGTTTTTCTTATCTCATGCCTTTCTTTGGATTACTATTTTTTTACTCTGTTTCTGTGCCCAGCATAATAATACTTACCCTGAGAGGGAATAGCATGAGGTGTATGTATCTATGTATATACTTATATATTTCATAAAGGGCCTTATTCAAATCAAAAACTTTATACACAATGCAATCCTATATACATTTATCTGACTTGAGTTCCTCTGTGTTCAAACAGTTTATTCCTGATAATATGTACAGGATTACAGCCCAAATATGTTCAGTTAGAAATGTGTACATTAGTTTAAAGAAATAGCAGGGCCTCTTTTCCTAGCCTATTCACTCTAGAACACATCTTTTTGAAGGTTGAAGAACCAACATATGATAGGCTTTGGTTTTTATCATTTCCACAGACGTTCTTTCTGAAAGAGGAAAACAAATATTCTAGTCCAATGTTTCTCAACGTTGGCAACTTGAAGATGTGTGGACTTCCAGAATTTCCCAGCCAGCCATGCTGGCTGGGGAATTCTGGGAGTTGAAGTCCACACATCTTCAAATTGCCAATGTTGAGAAACACTGCTCTAGTCAATAAAAACTTGGACAAACCTATTGTCATCCCAGTTTTCCAGTACAGATCTAATTCTTAACAATTAGATATAGCTTACATTTTCAAAAATAAACCTGTTAAAATTACCGTAGGGTTACGAGGAGCTACTGGAGTGGAAGAATGCTCGGGGCACACATTTGAGGTGATATTCTTGCTCATGCTTGTATTTGATTCTATCATGTCCACTAAAGCAACGCTTAAATTCACACGAAGTGCATACAAGAGAAAGAATCCAAAGAAGGCCCATATTGCTAAACTGAGGCGAGCTGAACACCATATCGGCACTAAAAGAAAAAGAAAAACATATAATTGTTAATACTACTTCCTCCCAAATACTTACAGTCCTGCTCAGCTGTAACATTTAACCAAATACATGGGCTAACACCATTAGGGCTAGTCAAGGAGTAAGACATAATCCAAGTGTTCTCCACTCCATTTACCTAGAGCAAAGAGCCATAGTATTGGATTAGGTAAGACTGTACATGGGAGTCAATAACTGAGATTCACAATAAAATAAACAGCCTTAATCAATACAGATAAATTATTTTGGTAGCTCCACATGGGCACAAAAGAGGGTAGGAGAGCTGCTGCTGGATTCACTTTGATAAATGAAGGGCTTTTGGATACAATAGTTCTACATCTGTTTGCATCTCACCTCCAGAACACTAATTTAAGTATGTTTTTGTCTGCAGTTTTCCTTGGTCAAAACTGAGGCCTCCAAAATAGATAGCAAGCTCACCACTAGCAGATGACCACCTACAAGCCTGGGCTCTGGTATCAGATCAGCAAGACTAAGCAGCTAATAGATCAGTTAAAGTAAGGGAAAGTTCCTGGTGAATATTTAATTCCAGCAGAGCTAGTAAAGACCAATGAAGATTGGTGGGCTCCTATCTCCCCAGATATCACATTCTGCAGTTCATAGAATCAAAGCTGAAGAGTGGAAATTTCTCTGCTTGATCCCTCTCAGCTGACCTGATGTAATTAGTCATAATGATGACTGCTGAGAAGAAAGGGTGGTGCAGTTTGTGATGACTGCAGAATTCTTGCAACACTAAGAACACGAAGAGCACTAAGAACAAATGGAATCTGTAAGTTGAGTTGAATTCATCACAGCTGTCTCTTCAAAACTCAGGAGCATAAAAGCTGCAGCTAGCATAAACATTTTATTTGTTTGATTGATTTATATAGGTGCCCATCTCACACAAGTGACTCTGGGTGGCTTACAAAGATTAAAACATTATCAAAACAGCAAACTCCTTTGCAGGGCTTCTTCAGGAGATCCAAGCTGAGCGTACTCCCTTCAGTAACAATTTCTTGGCAGAATTTATTCTAGAAATTCCAGCAGGAGTGACCTTCCTTCCTGCAGCTCCCCACCCCAACTCATGGAACCACGATATCACTTGCTACCCATTCACTACCTGAGCTTTTTTAGGAGTAAAGATTATCCATATACAGTAGCAATTGCTCCTTCTCTAATAATTCTAGCCTTAAAAAATGAATTTACCTTTATAAATAACTAAATGCTTGAACATTAACTAAGTGATTGATCTGATCAACTACCCAAACAGGTTAAGATCCTATAGATGCAGGTTTCATTTTATAGGGAATAAAGAGCTTTGAATTTTAAAAGATTCATTTGGAGTGAGGGTTATCTGAGATTTGGGTGGCATGGATATTTGTGGTATGATAAAACTAAGGTTAATGTAGATTTGAAAAGTCATTGTGTCAGATGTACCATATTAAGAATATGGAATAGATGCAAATCCAGGTTATACCTGAAAATGCCTTTGTGGCACAAGAAGAGTATTACAGATGAGAAATGATAAGCAAACATATATAATTAACTAGCCATGAGATACTACAATTGTTTCAGAGGAAATGTAAAATAAAATCAAGAGAAGAACTGGGGGCAGAGAGATATACTTGTCAATGATTTTCTTATATACAATTATTAGAAAAGTTTAAAGTAGATAAAAGAATGCATGGCTTTGAAAACTGTAAGACTGAATTTGAAATAGAATTATGTACAAATGATGAACATATAATTGCTAAATGTATAAACTTTTATTGAAATATGAAACAGAAGAACAAGTGAAAAAATGTAGGATAAAATGGGTTAAAATGTATGATAATATAGTTACAATATACAAATGGAACAATGGAAAAACATGTGGTTGAAAGGACTGAAATTTACATTATGCTATAACCTTAAAGAGAACTTTTATAAAATGATGTATTGTTGGTATATGTCACCAAAGAAACTGTCTAGAATGTATAAAGATACCTCAAATTTATGTTGGAAATGTGAACAATATAAGGGACATTTTATCATCTTTGGTGGATGTGTAAAAAAGCCAGAAAAATTCGGATATAAATATATACACTAATGCAGAGGATCTTAAAGATTAATATACAATTGAAACTGGAGTCTTTGCTCTTGGGATCGATGGACAAACAGCTAGAAAAAAGTCATGGAACTTTGTTTTTATATATGATAACCGCAGCGAAATTATTATGTGCACAAAAATGGAAAGATTCAGCATTGCCCACAATGGAGGAATGGTTGGTGAAGATGATGGAATTAGCATAGATGGCCCAATTGACCTCCTTGATTAGAGAAACGACCAGATCTACATTAATTGCTGACTGGAAACCCCTTATAGATGTTTTGTGTGAAACAGAAAAAAATGAACTTTGACCTGTGGGATGATTAGAAAAAACAGATAATAGAAAAAAGATAATTTGTTTTTGCAACCATAGAGTAAGAGGCAATTTTGTATTGTACTTATAATTGTTGTAAAGAAAATCGGAAGCTACTTCTATTTCTTTCTATTCTTTCTTTTTGCACTTTTGGCTTTTTCTCTGTTCTTTTTCTTTTTCCTTTATATTAGTTCTTGTTAGTTTTTATCTTCTGTTTAAAATTCTTAATAAAAATTATTAAAAAAAAGAACTTTAAAAGATTTATTACATGGCATTAGCAGTAGCCTCCCTAATACTTTTAGGCAAAGCAAAACTAAATGAATAGAACATAAATTTGATTAGGTGTGAAGCCTTGGTAGTCAACAATACATAAAGTCTAATAAATAGTAGGATCAAATAATAAGTGTTATGAATTTTATATTCTTGTATATTATTACTTTTTACAAAACTGCAAGCTGGTATATTATAAAGCCTATTGTAATTCTAGCACAATTATTCAACGACAGGTCCAACTGGAATAAACAGGAAGTAAGGAACAAAATCATACATACATACAATTCAAAATGAACATGAAAAACAGTCTCCCTTTTTGTTAAGCCATGTATGTCTTAACACAGTACTTACAGTCCTGATATACAAATCTACCACATTCACCACCATCTTGTTTTGAATATACATAAAACAAAGGAAATACTTTTTTTTCTTGAAAAAAATAAGAAAAGTTAAAAATAAGAAAGGAAAATGCCTTTTTCCATTCTGGAAAAGATTTTGCCTTGCACCACTTATATAAGTAATCCTTCAAAATTAATTTCTTACCTTTAACATCCCCCGAAGCGTCTGTTTTTGTAACTAATCTCGTTTTCACATCCATATTGTATCATTTCCTAGTTACTGTTGTGCTGATTAAATGAAATATTCCAGAGATCTGAACAGGAACTTCCTGCAGCTTTTTTACTTTGAGGAAGCTGCTGTCTCTATTTTTTCAAGCAAACACAGTCTAAACTAGACTTGGCATATTCTGTGAAGATCTTGCTGTCCCTGTATAAACGTTAATAGTACGTAACCCTTGCTATTGGCACTAATATGCTGCTGTTCATCAGTGACGCTACCTGAATCCACTGCTGTTTTCACCAATTACACTTGTCCCTCCCAGTTCTACTTCTCTGCTGCGTGTGAAAGATCCTGTTGAACAGCTGCATTTTTTCAGCAACTTCCGTTCTTTCAGATTTAAACACAAACATTTTTCCATTCTTCCCATCATCTATCTCCATTGTTTCCTATTCACACATGCACGTGCACACACATAGACACACACACAGAAATATACATTTAGTTTTGTACTAAACATTTGCTCTGAATCAATCTACTTTTCTTAGCTGCTATTGATTTACAATTTAGCAACATGATATGTTGACCACATGCACTTATTTTCTACTGTGTGCAGGTCTTTAATCAATTACATTTTACATGAGGTGCACAGGCATTGGAAGAGAAGTACCTTGGGCTTATTTTGCTGGTACAAATCCACACACACATAAAGTACTATTAGTATAATTTTTGCTGTAAATACTGTGAAATAAAAGAGCAGTGTGAAAAGGGGACGGGCACATATTTCAATTTTTTTTTTGAAAATGCACTAATAATTTAATGGCTTTTCTTACAACTTATCTCGTATAAATATGACATAATCATTTATGGTGACCCACTAGACTACATTTTAATGATGAGCTGGGTTTAGCTCAGAGTTAACTGTGGTTGGAGGGCTAAATAGAAGACACTGAAACAGCAGCCTGAAATAAGAACTACCTTATGTGGGCAGATGAAAGTCCAGAATTCAATGTCCAATAGCAACAAACCAGATGTCTTACAAGCTCAAAAATAAAGCAAGCAGATTATGACAAACACTGCAACCCCACTGCAATGCTAGCAGTGTACCAAGGTAACTAGACAAGCCAGGTAAAGGGAATTTTAAGTTATGTTTACATTTTGTATAATCAGATATTTATCCTGTCATTCTTCCAACAGTACACAATTGTATCCTCCCATTAGCTGAATAATAGCAGCTAATCCTAAATCATCTGTTACAGCTGGTAGAACTTCACAGATTGGAATGAAGGATGTGTACAAACCAGAAGAATCTGCCTAGTTGCCAATTTAGCTATTCACAAAACACTGAACTTCGCCAGTAGTTAGTTAGAAATCCTTGATACAATTTGCGGGCTAATTTGCATTTAAAATCAACAAGGGTCAGTGTCTTTCAAAAATCTATTGAGTAGAATTACTTTAAATTAAAAAAAAAAACCTTATGTGAGATGAAACTCATTTTCTGATAACAGGTGGTCCTATTTTAACGAGCACTCATTCAGTGACCATTCGAACTTATGACGGTGCTGAACAAGTGCTAGTTACAACTGGTCCTTGTACTTATAGCTGCCACAGTGTCCTGTGATCACATGATCATGATTTGTGACCTTCTCTGCTGGCTTCCCACAAGTAAAGTCAATGGGGAAGCCGGCAGGAAGTCACAAGTCGTGCAGTCCTCATTTAACACTGGCAACTGGGACTGTTGTTGCTAAGCAGCAGAGTCATGTGGTTTTCTGACTTGTGACCGTGTAGCTTGATAACAGAATTTTCAATCCCAATTAGCATTGTTAAGCGAGGACTACTTGTAAGTGCAAAATATTTAGATACTGTACTTTTTATTTTTAAAAGAAAATATAATTAGAAGCTAAAGCTCTCAATCACTGAACTGTGACTTTTCATTTTAAACTATCAGAGTTTTCTGTGATAGGCACTCTTTACCTTGTATTGCTATGTTTAATTATATCACATAAAAAACATATAGTCTGAAATCCAAATACCCAAGAGGCCCAGTTAAGGCATTACCCCCTTATTTTAAACCTTTTTCTTTGACCAGGTGACAGCCCATCCAAGCCACATCACAAAGAACTTTTGGAATTCCTCTTAGTTTTGAAAGAAGCTTGCCATGTGGTATAATGGCCTATAATTGCACAAAAGCAAAGTAAGCAATTTGGGCTAATTTGCTGCCTAATTATTTGGTAAGTTTTTCGACTAGAGCTGTGGACACAGGAGATTCAGTTCTACAGTTAGCCACAGCTTTTTGGGTGACTTGTCTGAGAGATACTCCAGTGCACTTCACAAAGTTGATCCAGAGGTAAAATTAGTGAAGGGAAGAAGTACTATGTACATCAAAACTCTCCCTCCCCAATTATATTCTCAGATTTCTAATACTTTGCAAGATTATATGTACAAATTTAATTTAATGGACATTTGGTTTCCATTCATCTTTCCATCATAAATAAATTCTGCTTTCTTCTGTATACGGATGCTGCATTTGTTTAGATTATTTTCTGAGTATTATCTCACTGCTTTACATCTAAAGTCAAAGTATGTGATAAAGATACTATAAATTTTCAGACCTGCTCCTGTGAATGTCCCTATTTTACAATAATTTAGTACATCTTGTAAATGGTCCATCATATCACTATCTTTAGTATGGAATACTTCAAAAGCCTTTATTTGAGGTCATACTATGTTTCTCTACTGTTGCCAAGAAAATGCATAGACATATTCATGAAGTTATCAGGAGTTGAGCTTGACCTAGATGAGATGTTTCTTATAAAAAGCTACAATCTGTTAAAATTACATCTTTAAAAGAGAAAGTTAAATAATTATTCATTCTTTACATATCCCATCCAAGCCCTGAATGATATAGAACTTATAATATGAACTCAAAAACTTTTATGCTTTCAAAACAGATTTTAGGTGGAATATGTATCTCCTGCAAACAAGCAATTTCAGCTCATCTTTTTCAATTTGACTAACTTGAACAATTGCCATTCAATATAAAACCAGAAACAGAGAGCAAGGAAAAAGGAATATGCCATTCCTATATTTAGCATACACAAATGGCAATATAGAAATTCTAGGCCAAAAAAGTAAAAATAAACTCAGAAATTAAAAACAGAAAAAAGATTAACCTACTGAAATATATGGATTTTTTAAATTTTTAAAATTTTTTTATTTTTTATAAATAATTCAAATGGCGAACATACCTAATACTCCTTTCTCCTCCTATTTTCCCCACAAACACCACCTTGTGAAGTGAGTTTAGCTGAGAGAGACTGGCCCAAAATTTTATTTTTTTATTATTTTTTATTATTGTTGGTTGCACAATCAGCCAGATGTTTAGACTGGATTTGGCATTTTTATCCATCTATTGAATCCTTCCCAAGGACCTGGGATAGGCAGATGTTGGTGTTTGATGGTG